TGGAGGTTACTTGTTAATCCACTAAATCTTAATCCTACTGACTGGCTGCATGGGCCACACTCCCATAAAAAACAACAGTGGAGAGCTTATCCACTATTTTGCAAACAGGTATCCGAATACTCATTTTTCAAAGTTTGGCGACCAGTATATTTCAGTGAATAAATAACAGATGGCTCTTGGAGAATTTATTCCAAGCAGACCATGCGATATTTCATTTTCAAGCTTCTTATTTACTTTGTAACGCTGGAATATAAATATACCATCTTTCAAAACGATGAACTAGCAAGGCTGTAAAAGCCAAGGGCTTTTGTAAATTGTATCTTCAAAATGTTATAGTAACATGTGACAATATTCTTATTTTGGAAATGTCTGTATGAGCATGCAATAAAAGATGGAAAAATCAGAAAATGGCATATTTCAGGAGGACCCTTCCAAAAGCAGGACATGGATATAATGGTTTGAAAATTAGTTAAGTTACAAGCGCCGCAGTATACAAAAACGCTCAACGTTGACAGGCTGTCAGTCCGTCATTTTAAAGGGTAATGCTTTTATATTTCAGGGTTATAAGATACCCAACTAGCAAAGTAGTGGTATAAGATTGTGGTAAAACAACCGTTCAGCCATAAAAGCTCTCTATTGTTATTGCCTGAACACCAAAATGCTGGCTTAATGTTGTGTGGAATGCAAATTTGCTTTCTGCAACACATTTGCTCTAAAGTGAGGGGTTTAAAATATTCTTATAGCATAGTTATACAACACCTTATAGGGCAAATTTTTAACTGTTGCATAAACGTTTATACAGCTATTTTATACGGCATATTTGCACGTTAGTCAAAATGGTTCTGTTGTGGCATGAATGGTAACGTTTATAAAACAAACCCGAGCCTTGTTGTTTTGCTGTACAATTTACTACTTTAGCCAACAAATTGCTACCAACGGAAGCACTTATACAGCTGTTGTTTAGTAACTGTTAAAGGCTGTGTGTACATATGCTAAATATGTTGGTATACAACTTCACCATAACCTAACTTTTTGCTGTCATATTTTTGTTAAAATGCCGTAACCAATGTTTTAAGACAAACAACGCATGCATATTGGTTCAAAATGTTTTATCAACTGTTCAAACAGAAGATATAGATCTGGTACAAATTCTGGGTAAATCATTCGAGTCTGTCGATATTTCATTTCAGACATTTGTCAAATTGCAGGCAACACCAAAATATTCTAATAACCTAAAGACAACATGGACGATGCCATGATTATACACAACCACCCGCCATATTGGGCAAACATTTATTTCTCTATTTAGTATTAAATAATTATGTTTCAGTTCGAAATTACAGATATAAAGTGATAAACATTAGTGTAATTGTGTCTAAATATAGGATTTGTGGAAGATTTAACGCAAATAAGTTCAGTTGTCCATCTTAAAAATCTAGACATACTTTTGACTATTATCAAAATATGAATCAAATACGAAGCCCGTAGAAATTGCGTAACTACTTTGCACGATAATCACAATAAAATTTGCTGCGCAAGTAATTCAATAGCCCTATATCACAGTGTAGAAGTTTATCATATACCTGTGTATGAAATTCACAATGGCCGATATGTAAGTAAACAAGATGACTGTAATGTGTTAGTTATATATTCTTCCTCGTCTATACAATACATAAGAAATAATTTGGTTGCAGTAAAGTAGAATCACGTAACAGAATAGTTGTATAGTTGACAAAAACTGAATCTTGCACTGACGCAAATGTCCTATAGCGGCTGCAAGAGGCTTACACTTTTGTTGTATAACTGTTACCTGCAGCCCTTGTACAACCTCTTAAATGACTGAAGTGTCCTATAAGGTGTGCCCATTCCGTTTGTATAGCAGTTCTAAGAGGGTTTTGCCAATGTTCTTACAGTATACAATGCTGTTTAAGGAATACTGTATAATCATTCTTGCAACTCTAATAGGAGTGATAATTGCTAGTTGGGATACTCCTAAGGAACTTCAAAATAACATTACCCCCGTTCCATCGAACAAAATATCTCAAGATGGCGCCCAGCACTTTTCAGTTATAGTGGATAATGTTTCCTAATATACTGAACCGGCAATCATTATTACTTCAGCTGTTCTCAGATTGTATCAATTATGTGTTGTATCTCTGGCAAGTAAAAATTTCCAAATCATTCGACCTACTTCTCGAAGCTATTTTAGGTAGATATTTCCCACGCTTTTCTCTTCCTAACACATAATTCTCACCGTGTAACTATGATTCAAATGCGGCGGAAAGAGTCGAGAATGAAATATCAGAAGTGGGATTGTCTGATATTTCCATGCCACCGCAATGAAAAATCTGTATTCAAACGGGAATATTGTGACGCCGGCGAATATTCAACAATGCTAAGCAGAGCTATAAAAAGAGGGTTATGTTTGCTGATGATTTCTGATAATGGCTCTGTTGTTGGTGCTTATGCTTATGCAAATTGGGTGTTTAGAAATACAGAACGTGGATGAATGCGAAATATGAGAGATTTTAGGGCATCTAATGGGGTGCTTGATATATCAAATGTTACAATCATTCTATTGGCAACTATCTATGAGAGGAAAGTTATGAAAATGTAGTAAAATGCACCCAACGCGTGAATTATTCTGTTAATAACTTAAATTTTATTATAATTTTATTTTGTCATTAATTATGATTGATTGTTCGACCATCTACGACTGTAATATAAACTCTTTGTAATTGTAATGTTTATTATACATAGCACTACATAAATACACTGAGACTGAAATTTTGAATATGAATATATGGCTATTATGTCTAGTTTTGTAGACGTGTACGGTATGTACTGCGCTGGGGGAATAAACTGTGTTTTCTTTAATAAATAAGCAATACTCGTAGATCAATATTGACGGTAGCGTTACTTTTTTTAAATACTGATCTCCAGCGATTCAGTGGATTAACACCAAAGACTAATCTACTCAACCACTTTTCTAGAAAAATATTCTCTGTATGCCACAAGAAATGCCGCAATACGAGGGATGTCTTTTAAGTTTTCCATATGGAAATAAAACAACACAGTAGGTAGTTTTAAATGACTTTGGGCTGTGTGCGAGCTTGCATTGTCTTGGTGGAAGGTGATTCTTCTTTCGGGGTTGATTTTTCGAAGCTCGGTGGTGACTTGGGAAACAAATGGTGGTATACCAATCCGCAGTAACAATGCTTTGCTCATTAAGAGGAATTGTTGTAATATGACCCGCTTTTGACACATATGTCGCGACCATCTTTTTCGAAACCCTTCGAGAACGGATGACTTTTGTTGGCTTTTCTTCACCTTGGAACACCCAAACAGCCGACTGCCGTTTATTTTCTGGTTCATAACAATAAATCCACGATTCATCACCACTAACAATGCACACATTTTATGAGTTTCCGGAATTGAAACGGTCAAGCGTTTTTTGACACCAATTAACCCCGGCTGCTTTCTGCTCTTCAGTCAACAGGTGAGGTATCCAACGAGAAACTAATTTTCTTACTCCTAATTCATGTAAAATTTTTTGAATTGAGGTCTTTGAGATCTTTAGGGACGTCTCAATCTCGCGATATGTCACATGTCTATCTTCAATGATGAGTTTGCGCACAGCATCGACGTTTTCCTGAGCGACTGCCGTTTTTGGGGCGCCCACCCTGGGATCGTCGCTAAGACTCACCCGTCCACGTTTGAATTCTCCATACCAACGGGAAATTGTCGACTGATGTGGCGCTTCGTTGCAGAAAACAGACAGTAACTCAGCAAGGCATTCTTGCTCCGATAATTGTCTCTGAAAGTTGTAATAAATTATGGCGCGAAAATGTTCTCGGTTGAGTTCCATTTTTCTAATGACTTGGTGACACTAAAAAATTCACTGCAGTGAGAACACTGCACGTATTGTTGTGAAACTTTGAATTTAAGTTTACTAAAGAGTGAGGTTAAGATTCAGGACTGACGTTCGATCCGCGCGGCCAACTATGTTTCTATATGCAAAACTTAAAAGACATCCCTCGTATATAATCAAGTACCTCATTGCAAAATAGTAACTAGGAGGAGACATCTACGACTAGCTAGTCCCCGTAGGTAGCTTAATGCTAATTAAGTCCGAGTTAAGCTTCCTAGCTAAAACTCTATGTGTTTGCAAATAAAGCATTTTGTCTATGTAAAGACCCAAACATGTGTGGCTTTCTACCTTCTTTATGGTAGTACTGTACGGTATACTTTGTTTTGTACGTATTTGCTATCAACTTGTTTTCTTCAATCCATTCCGAAAATTTTTGTAAAATTATGTTTGCTTTATTTTCGAGTCATTCGGGTGAAATTCTACTATACTGATAAGTGTGTCATCTGAAAGTCTTTATAATAGTATTTCATTTAACCATTGAGACATGAATTTGCCGTATTTCTGCAAGCATGTCAAATTATACTTGAGCTTCACCCTACAGTCGTTTTCTTAATTATATCAATTTGTAATTCTGCACTCTACGTAGACAACATCTCACTACTTTGGCTGTAAGTTTTTAAATATTTCGAACGACGAACAAGGTAGTATTCTAACAATATCAACAAAAATTCTGTTGCAGTTTTTGTAGGTAAAAAAATACCTGTTATCTGGAGTATTCATGAAAGTCGCCCATTTGCTGGTTTTTTAGATAAACTGAACCTCCGCTGTTGGAAGGGTATAGTCATGAATTTGTCAGACACGAAAGTTAGCAGCAGCCAAAAGATAACGAAGGACAGTACAATAAAAAAAGGACGCTCGCTAAATAATAATTTATCGACAAAGTTCATGACGACTGAGCGCGAATTTTCAGACGTCGCATTATTTAGTGGTGTTGTTTTGGAAATAAAAGTTCGAACGAATGCCGTGACAATGGCTCTGCTGGGAAAATTAGGGCAAACATACATATTTAATCTTTTGGGGATGTGAACGTTCGATTGCATTGGTTCGGACAGCTTTACTATATTTCCGTATGCGAAACTGTGAAGAGGTAATTAGCTCTGCATCAAAATAAATAAACACAGGAAATAATATACATATATCAAGTAACCAAATAAGTTCATGCAGTTTTTAGTAGAAAAATATAAACTTTTATTGAGAAACAACAAGACACTATTTATTCGTCGAAGTAATTACCATCACATTGAATGACCTTTTGCCGACGTGGAACCAATTTTTGTACGCGAGTATTGTAGAACTCCCTGGATTTGGAGTAAACGAAATTGGCGGACTGCATTTATTACACCATCTCGAGTTGTGGACTGTCGGTGCCTCATACAGTTGTCAAGAGACAAAAAAGGTGATAATCACTGGGCGAAACGTCGCCGTCGGGAGAATACGGCGGGTAAGTTCAGAAATTTTTTCTCGGGTCACTTTTGCGGTATGAGGCTTGGCGTTATCCTGCAAGAATATACTTTCTTCCGATTGATCAAAGAAGGCTGTTTCTGGGTGAGTGCTGCTTGTACTCGTTGAAGCTGCTCACAATACAAGATAGCAGTGACGGTTTGACCCCTTTCCAAAAACTCATAATGGACAATTCCAGTTGCTGTCTATCAAACACACAACAGAACCTTGTTTGGGTGCAAGGGAGTATGTGGTACCAAATGAGTAGGCGACAACCAATGATACGAACGCTTAGAATTCGAATACGAGATCCATTTTTCGTCACAGGTTAATAATCGAGTAAGAAATGGTTCATTAGCGTTGCGTGAAATGTTTGCTGAACAAATGGTAAGACGATAATTTGTTATCATTTGTCAGTTCATGTGGGACCCATTTGCTTAATTTCCATGTCTTTCCTAGCTGATGAAGATGCAAACGAATAGTTTCAGGACCCACTCTGAACATTTCTGCAAGTTCTTGGCACCTTGTCCTGGAATTTGCGTCCACAACCTGTCGAAGATCCTCGTTGTTCATGATTGTTGGTCTCCCTGAGCGCGGTTCATCGCTCAAACTGAGATCTCCCGAAGAAAATTTTTTGAACCACTTCTGTGCTGTTCGACCACTAACGGCATCATTTCCGAATGCGGTACATATTTTTCGGGCCGCCACCCAGCTTTTGTACTCATACAGTAAACAACTTCGAATTACTGTTTTATTCGTCGCCATTTTCAATTATTAAAACTAGGTATGTAACAAATTTCAGCAACTTTTTATGTGTGTGAGAAAAGAAGGATTCATACTAAAATGACAACAGGTAAGAAACAATCGCTATCGATCAACAACATCCATGGCAATGTGCGATATACAGCAACCGCACGAACTTATTTGGTTACCTCATAGAAATAATATAGGTATAGATTGAAATTCAATATTATTATAAGTTGCTACATTAGTCGCATGTGCAACTGTGCAAATAGATTTACTATCAATACAATGTCAAAAACTTCAGAATAAACATTCAATGGAATTTCGAAGTTTTGGACTCACTAAAGTAAGTTTCGTGAATATTTGACGACGTGATGATACTAGCTGTTTCAGTAAATTTCCACGAAAACAGGAGACTCGAAAAAAATGGAACTGAAATATTTTTTATAAAGTTACTACCATAAAACGCACAGAAAAGGTTTGAATGATTTTACAATTGCTCCACAATCTCCTCAAACTTCTGACATTGATAACTGACTGAACGTAGTCAGACAATTATTGCGGTGGTTATTTATAAAATCTGTAAGTATATTTTGAACGTTGTTCAACTATTTATTCGACTTTGGCTATCCGATATTTTTAATTTTAGGCAGTTTTAGTGTAGTGATTCGAATATATCTTGAAAAATAAGTTTAATTCACTATACAATCCGGATTCATCAAAGCAAATAGGGGTAGTTTACCGAAAATCGACGCTCTTATGCTGCGAAAGTTTTCCATATCCAACAGTGTTTTTTGTTTTCTATAATTTTAAAACTCCAAGTGTAAAGTATATGTTTATGTTCAAATGGTATTGTTTCAGTTTTGTAGACAACAAACGGCTCTTTGGTAGAACTCGGTCACCAACCGAAACCGGATGAGCGCTAGGGCGCTTCTTGTTAACACGTTCGCTGCCAGTAAAATGTTGTTACATGTAGTCAGGGGCCAAGGGGGATTTAATTTTTGTTTGCCAGGCAATTGCTTTAAATGATACTAAAAGAGAGATATATTGTAATTATCGAATATTTTCTTACCTGAATACAAATATTTTTTTGATCGCCAGATGGCGACACTGGCTCTACAGGTAGAATTTAGGACAAACAGCGTACGCAAAAATGTATAAACTGTATGCTTAATCACACATCCGAACTATACCAGCAAGCCCCCTGAACTGAAGCACCATGTAATAATAGATGACACGTGTCGCCCAATGGCGACGGAGGTACAGCAGTCTTGACAGTGTCGCCAAAAGGCGGCAGTGGCATTGAGCGTGCTTCAAGGTACAGTACTGTGTTTTGAAAACACAGTTGTATTGGATTGTTGAGTCTCCAAGCAGTGGTAATCTAGTATGATTTGAAAAGCAAACAAAAATATTTCCATCTAGCACGATGTTTTTAGGGGTATGATTTCCAAGTCCCGCTAGCAACACCACTGCTTAATGGAGATGGTCCTTCAAAACAATTAGGTGGGCCTTTGCTTAGGCTGTTGAGCCGTCTCCAGCAGCATATTTTCGCCGAGAAATGTGGCCCTGTTCACTGACACCTTACGATTAAATATGATTCTGGGAGCCGCAGGGCATTCATCTACAAAACAAATGCTCGCTCCAGAAAATTTTAATTTATAGACATAATATATGAGATAAATATATTTTGACTGCAATAATGCAACAAACATTCCTGTCAAACTGATTATGTTTTATGACCTTTCAAGCTGGCTCAAAATTTTTCAATATTGTAGGAATTCCAAAGTAAATTGGTTTTTTGAGATTAATTGACGAGGAGTTGAGGTATCTGGAAATCTAATGTAGATCAGAGAATCCCCATTGTTATTTTAGCAATTTAAGGACTTTAACTTTTTCAAGTCGCTGAAGAGAAAAAACTAAGGTTTGTCTAGTCTTCAATTATCGGGTAATCTGTCTTCTCAACAATTTTGTTAAGCTTTTGGAGGTCATTTTGTATAATCTTCTTACACATATGCACATTTCTGAAGACCAGCGTGGGTTTATGAATAAAACAGTAACCACCTTGACAATACTTACGTCTTAGCTTCTAATAAATTAGATAAGGTCATATATACAGACTTTGCAATACTATATCATTCAGTTCTCATAAGAAACTTGTACAACTTTGGCTTTACTAATCAGTTCATAAAACTATCCCCGTCTTATTTTACTGATCGTCGCTTGTACGTAACTTATAATAGATACAAGTCTCAGCAGTATTTGACCACCTTAGGGGTGCTCCAAGTGTCAAACATTCCTCTCATGTTGCTACTTTTTATCAATGACCTCTGTGAGGAACTTAAATGTGGTACTTTGCTGATCGCTGACGACGTCTTTAGAGATGGTGTAGTATGAACAGGCTTCAATTAAATGTCAGTAAATGCAAGATTATAACATATACTCGTAAGAAGAATAAGACTATATAATTATAGTTTAAGTAGTGTTAATCTTGAAAGATGTGATACTTTTTGCAACATTCGATAGTAGACTGAGTGTTGACTATCTCAAGTAATTTGTGATGCAAGCAGGTCTTTAGTTCGAAATTTTAAACTTATATTTGATATTGACACTTCATACTTTGGCTATGTAAGATAAACACTGGAATATGCATCAATAGTTTGGAGCTCTTACTACCAACGCTACAGAAACGGGACTGATATGTCTAGAAAAAGTTTTTAAAATACCTAGTTTTGAAAGCTGATTAACTTTATCCTGAGCGTGGATGTGACTGATTTGGCTTAGCTTCACTGGAGAACCGATACAAACAGTTCAATTATGTTTCTGTGTAAGCTCCTGAACTTGATATATTCGTCTGAACGGTCATCCCAAATATCCTTTTATGTTGCTAGATTTAGTTCTCGGCAGGATCAGCTGTTCTTTTTATGCGTACAAATACGAACTTCGTAGTAAAGTCAGCAGTTAGAGTAATGTGCTCAAACTTTGTGTGACATATTTGTCATTTAGAAATCTTGAAAGTATCCTTATGATGTCATTAGTAAATTACGTAGGGTAACATTACCTTGTACATGGATTATTTTTGTTGAGTAATAAATGCTACTATTTTTATTATTATTGTTATTATTATGCCATTTTGACAGATTTCTCCGGTAAGGAAGTGCGATATTACCGCTCCAAGCGTCCATTGTGCAGAACTATTGCGACATACGCGAGAAGTTTGATGCATTTCCTTTGATGAAACGAACCGCACGAACTTGCCCAACAAACTTAACGAAATGATACTTCCGAACTTTTATTCCAAGCGAGCGACTCGCCGTCTCAGAGTTTCATCTGAAGTCGTACATGTGGCGGGTGATATCTCTTATGTACTCACTTTTTACGCGGAGCTACCGGAGTCCTTTCGAAAATTTCATCGCTCCCAGCTGCAATTGTGCAACTTTCAACGAGACTGTTTAATTCAGAATCCTTTGAGAGATGAAGTTGAGAAAACTGAATAAGTTCCGCTTGAACGGAGGATAATATATAGCACTGGAATTGTGTTCGATTATTTATGAATATAATCCTAATAATAAACGACTTTTTGTTAGTGCAAAGCTTAGCTACAAGCTGTTCCACCACTCAACCCTTGAAAAACTAGCACTAGACTATTGAAAACAAAACATTCTTATAAAATTGAAATGAAAGTAAAAAATTGAATACGGCCTACATGTGTGTACAAAAAAGAGGGATTTATATGATATGCGGAAATATAGATATACTGAGAGTTAATTCAGATTTGAGAATCAAAGATAATTCATTTAGGGCCAATTTCATCAACATTAATATTATGGACCAATGGGAAAATACCGTATCGAAACGCAATTTGACGGAAGCTGTCAAAGGTCTCTGAATATTAGTGATTTCTATTGAAATATTGAATAAAATCGTGAAAATTCGACTGTATTATAAACAAGACCACTTTTTGATTCCAACATGATGCTTTTGTACAGAAAAAACAGGACAGCTTTCATGTATTTTGATATATGTTATAGGTTTACATTTAACAAACCGTTATCCCCCTCAGCCAATGGGAACGTGGCAAATAATAGGTCGATTTTCTAGCTGTTAAATTTGGCAGCAGATTTGGACGTTTGTTAATGCATGGTACTCTCGAATTTGCCAACTTCAATATACTGAAAGTTATCATTACATACCTGTTGAATAGTGTGGATTTGTTTGTATTTTGCAAGAAAATAGAATATAAAATACATTCCATCCAATTCATCATCTTCCTTTACAACATAATAGTAATCATTTATGTATTAATTTATGGGTTAATGAATTTCTTCAAAGCAATAAAAACATTATGTCCTCTACATCCTAAAACACAGATAATATGTGTAAGATCTGTCAATCCCTACATCTCCCTGATGCATAATGCAATTACTATGGATATAGACAAAAAATTATGAAAAATGTTTCACAGATAATGGCTTTTAAGTCCAAAAATCAAAAAAAAACTAGTAATGTTTACTGTTTGTCTATTTTTCTTTTTTGACTGGCGGGGATATCTATCTGACACTCGCAGGGTTTCCAAGTCTAACGACGATCACGTCCCGTGGTGGAGGGTGCGAAATGAATCTTTTACATTTGCTGGTTTTGAATTTTTTTCGTGAAAATTTACTAGGTATCATGATTATAAGCATCTTTGGACAAATTTGAAGATTTTGTACAATTCCTTTGAAAATGAAAGATATGTCTGATTTGGCAGGGTAATGTCCCAGCCAAATGGCAGTCACTCTTTCTGACACAGTCCGGATCGAAAGATGACGATACTCGTGAAATGTATTGATACTTCTAAATATAGGATCGTATC